TAATTCTCTTCACAATTCACACAGTGTCTCCTGGATTTCTTGACATCTAATATTAATAAAGATAATTAACTTAGATTTTAATCCGTTGATATGCGTGTGACTATTTTAATATCAAACCCGTGTATGAATGTTTTATAAATGAAGCCTCAGGTCTCCGTTTTTCAGACGATAGAATAACTGAAATCGGAATTTAATACGAGTTAAATTCCTTCAGTAGTTTATCACAAAACAAATATAGAAATACAGAAATACTTTTCTCTTTGGTTTATCAGACTAATCTCCTTAACTGTGATGGAGAGGGCTTTGATGGAATTTTTTTTATCCAGTAAAATTATAATACAAAAAGCAAGGTTGCACATGTTCTCCCTTTTTTTAAATGTAAGACGCAACAAAATTAGCAAAAAAGTCAATACCAGAATAAGCATTTCATCTCAAGAGTCAAAGCTCTGAGCATGTGTTCTCTCCTCATTGCCTCGCTTTATATTCTCAGCGTCCTACATTTATGAAATAGCTTTTTTGTTCTCCCTTTTAAAAAGAACAAAAAACAAACCAAAAAAAAAACGACAGCGAGAATAGAGCGGCCCCCTTAACTGAGCAAAATGTTCTCATTATACTTTTTTTTTTTTTTTTTCTCCTTCCCTTCTTCTCTTCTTTTCTCCTAAGCGAACGCGGTTATGAAATTTCCCCGCTAGCCAAGCAGATTGGCTCACTCACTTTAGAGCCATTTAATTGTTAAACATCACTGGTTTTATTCTAGGCACTTGTTCTGAATCCTGCCCCCACACATCTACTCAGCACGCCACTGGCTCAGCGGCTCTGCGGCTCAGTAAGATGCATTAAAATAAGCTCGACTGGATTCTGCGGTCTCCTGTAACAATGAATACATCGATTCTAGCTTTCTCTTATCTGATCACACACATTCAGCTGATTTCATTATGTAGAATTAATTCACTACATGCTTCGAAGCACAAAACCGTAACAAATGACCATATTGAAATTAGGCTAGCAAAAATTCTGGTTATTGCACATACAAGAAAGCAAAAATAGCTTCTTTTTTCCAGGCTCTGTGTAAACATCGTAGAGTTAATGCTTTAGATTTCTTCCTGCCCAAACTTATGCGTATGAGTAGATTACTGTGGTTTAATATTTGTGCACATTAGTTGTAGTTATGACTCTTCATTTTTAAAGGGTTTTTTTTTTTTTTTTTGCATAAATCAGATTCCTATATTTTTCAACAGCTTGAAGAATTTCATTATGAATAATAGGTCCAGATCAGCGACTGTTGGAGTAAACCAAGTTTGTGTGCGAGAGAAATCATGCATCATCATGGCTTAAAGATGTTGAATCAAATCTGGGATCCAAATTTCATGATGTTTACAGGCAAAAAGTGCATTAGTGTGTTTAAATAATCTGTGGATCTGTGACGTATTTAGCTGTTAAGCTTCTAATAAGCTTTAAGCATATTAAAACAGATGCAAGAGCTATGAACGAAGTAAAAATATAAATAAAGGAAATGTCTAAATTTTATATTGAGTAAAAGATGATTGAATATAAGAATGCTAAATAACTGATTAATGGCCTGTCTCGCTTTCTCAGCGATGTACGTTGTGTAAGCCAAGGCTGTCTCAGTGCACGAGTTAGTTAATTGCTCTTGTATCCTTTTTTGGAAGATGTTTGAATTCGTATATGAATTGGCGAAACCTAGAGTGTATATATGTATACATCAACCAACAGGGGAGATCGCTCACTGTTTTTAAACAGTAAAATATCCGCTGTACTATTTCCTCCAACCACATCGAGTTTGCTGATAACGCCAACGAGGAGTGACTTGCAGACTAGAGGAAAAACTACAATCGCACATTATCCCCCTCTGCTGCACATCAGTGATTCAGCCGTGAAAACAATCAGAAGGTTTCTTGGTGTGTCCATCACACCACCCTCCTTAGACCAAAAGCCCAGCAGTGCTTCTATTTCTGAGGAGCACAAACCTTCTCTCTAGCATCCTCGCTGTGTTCTACACGGTGATCGTCTGATCTGTCTTGTTTGGGAATTGGAGCATTTTGAAACAAGACCCTACAGCAGGTGGTGAAAGCAGCTGATCAGGAACACTTATTACATCTGCATAGATGCCACTGTTGTGGGTGATCCCACTCTCCTGGTCATGGACTCTTTACCCCTGACTGAGTCTAGGAGCATATGGGAACCATCACCAGACTCTACAAATGCTTCTTCTTTTCCACTTCCTGAGCGGCTCATATCTATAAGCTCCACCTCCTATCGTTATTTACACTTTAGCACCCTGTATTATCTTTTGGACTCCACTCTTGTAGGTATTATGGCAGCTGGCTGCATCGCTTTATTGCAGTTCAGGTTCTGCACATTTCTTTGTCGTGATTTATGACTCCACAGTTTTGGAGCACAGTTACTGTTGCACTTTTGGACTTTGCGGTCCTTTGTGCCTTGCTCCTGTGTTGTTACATCATTGTCCTGTAGAATCGGCTTTTTTCTTCCACTGCAGGCGTCTTTCTGGATAGAATGGCAAAGATCTACTTGTGTACCTTTATTTAGCCCTGACCTCTGTCACGGCAGAGACTGATTCTTTTTTGTTTCTCTCGTTCTCTCCTTTCCTCCTAGCTCAGCTTCTCGGTTTCCTCATTAAAGTACACCTCCGTTAGATCTCCCACAGTAGCACACTAAACGGGGAGCCAATTATAGCGAAAGCAGATGCTTAGAGCCACTCTCTTGGGGACGAATGCATATTCTGCCAGTCTAATTGGCACTTTGCTGGTTGGTTTTGGTGAGTGAAAGATGGGATGTGTGGTTTTTTTTTTTGGGGGGGGGTGTTCAGACCTCTCATGCCTTTTTTCCACTGGAAGGATGCTAGTTATGCTAATATTCACCTTGTTGGATGGTCAAATGTGACCTTTCAATTTGAAATCTATTACCATCTGTTAATCCACATGCACGATCAGTCCTTTATTTCCTTTAAAGCCTCTGGCAGCATTGAATCAAATTAAAAAAAAAAAGTCACTTAATAGGCTTTGACCAAGAAATAAGTGCATCTTTATACGTACAGTTTCATTATAGGTAAACTGTATAACGTTGCCAGTCATCATACTTATCTTGCAGTGATGTCTTCCTGTTAATGTAACCAAAATTTATCTCCTGACCATCACACCCACATGTGAACCTTCCCTAAACTGTTGCCACAAAGTTGGAGGCACAAAATTGTACAGAACGTCTGTTTGTTGTAGCATTACAATTTCCCTTCACTGGAAATAAGAGGCCCAAACCTGATCAGCACCATGATGCCCCTGTGCACAAAGCGAGCTCCAGGAAGACATGGTTTGTCAAAGTTGGAGTAGAAGAAATTAAGTGTCCTGCACAGAGCCCTGACCTCAACCCCACTGAACACTTTTGGGATGAAGTGGAACACTGACGGCACCCAGGACCTCCGTGCCTGACGTCAGTGCCGGACCTCACTAATGCTCTTGTGGCTGAATGAACGCAAATCCACACAGTAACGGTCCGAAAAAAAGAGTCGAGATGGTTATAACAGCAGCGGGGGTTTCCATCTGGAATGGGATGCTTACAAGGCACATATGGGTGTGATGGTCAAGTGTCCACAAACTTTTGGCCAAATAGATTATCTGCTGCGAGTCAGAACATTGCATGTTGGAGTAAACTGTACATATTTCTAAAGCTTGTCGTTTGCAGAAAGCGGTGATGTAGTAGGGGTGTGTGTGGATACTCAAATACCCAGTCTGATACGCTTTGAATACATCAGTGACAAAACTGCTTGGATATTCATAATGCCCCACGGCCAGAGGAAGTTTGTTGGATTTAGTGAGGTTGTTGGGTGTGTCTGTAGACCAGAATTCACTGATTTGGAATTACTGTGATTAGTAAATCTGACGCACGTCATTTTTTCTTGGATTTAAATGACAATCCATGTCTGCGTATTGCTCTATTTTAACAATAATATAATTTGGGAACCCTAAATAAAATACTCACATACATACCCAGCCCTTTTTCTTTTTTGAGAAGCTCCAAAAGGATTTTTCCAATCTTATCTTTTTCCCCTGTTCAGTGTAAAGCAGTTGTCTTGCACTGATGCACATTTGGGATGGTTGAGCTTTGGGGATCCCAAAAATAAATAAATAAATAAATAAACCAGACAACACTCTCTACCCAGAGTAGGATTTCCTGTGTTGCTCTTTTTGCTGTAATTTTTTGGATTCGACGGTGCGATTTGGCACAGCATCCTCTCTGCAATCTCACCGTCTGTGCTGATCATTAGAAGGTTTCGCTGTAGCGGAGGAGGCTGAGCTGAACCTGACCAGCAGCTACATCTTGGCTGTGGAAATTGCATCGCTACCATGTGGTGGAAGGGAGTGGGTGTTGAGCTTTATTTTTGTTTTTATTTATTTATTATTTCTCAGGCAGATTTGAGATTGAAATTATTCAAGAGAACAGAGATCTTCATTGCTCAGCCTGATGAGTCATAGCAGCAGTCTGAGGCCCCCCCACCCCCCCCGTGTCTATTAAAATAAAAACGTCCATCATACCAGGCCGAAGGAGAAACTTTCCCTTTTTGTAGAGAGAGTTGCTTCAATCCAGTGAGAAGGCTGAACAGAGAGGAAATGCTTGTACGTGACTAATTTTAATAATGATGAATGATTAGTATTATTGGGATACTGCATTTGAGATGTTTCAGTCCCTCATTATTGTCAGAATGTCCAGAATATGATCCTAAAGGCTGCATTACCATTTTTTTTCACCTATTACAGCAGCACAGAGTTAAGATACAACACCCCTGGAGACAGGAGCTGCTGTAATCGGCTGCCACTAGCACGGCGCCATCTTGATGTGCTATCACATCGTGTAAGAATTCCTTGGTCATGAGAAGTTTGGTTAACTGGCTCGCAGGTAAAAAAAAAAAAAAAAAGATTTGAGCAAAGACAGGTGATGACCAATTTTGGACAGTATTAGAAATTTTGGACAGCGGTAGCTCAGTGGTTAGAGCATTGGACTGTTGATCGGAAGGTGTTGAGTTCAAATCTCAGCACTGCCACTGCTGGGCCCTTGAGCAAGGCCTTTAACCCTCAACTGCTCACTTGTATAAATGAGATAAATGGAGAATGTCCTTTCCCTTCTGTAAATTGCATCGGATAAAGGCATCTGCCAAATGCTGTAAATGTGAATGGACCAAACTCTCGGAATGTAAACGCTACTACGACGGGTCTGATGCGTCACACTCGGCAATCATAGTACTAACGTGAGAGAATATTGGCTTCTTGTCAAGAATTGTCATTCTTGGTTCTGATTGTTGTAAACGTTGTAAAAACGTTGTATACTGGCAGCACTGACAGCTGTGGCAGCTGCAAGTCACATTACAGGTTTATATTAATGCGCTCCTACTGTTTCTATAGTAAGAACATGCACAAAGACTTCTATGGCAGACACTCCACATAATGGATTTAACAAAGTGTGTATGTGTGTTGATCTGGCAGAGTTCTGTAAGGAGATGTTTAGCATTTATGGAAGGAGTCTCCAGTGTCAGCCCTTTGTAACAGTCGGAGGTAAAACTATAAAGTTTGTAGATGCAGGAAGTCATTAGGCTCGGAGGGCTTTGCGGTTTCTTAGTAACATGATGGGCTACGTGTTTTTTTTTTTCTTATTGACTTCAAAAGAGAAATAAAGAGGCTGCTGAGCGAGGAAGTGTTTTACAGCTGCTCTGACTAGAAACGGATAAAATGTATGACTTGTTCTTTAATAAATAGGAAAATAATAGATGGCTCAGTAAGTTATTTTCCTGTAACAGCATGTACCAGTGTTTTATTCCTCACATCTCATACGGTGTGATGCGCAATAACCTTATACAGTGTAAAGCAATCTTTTGACAGATACGATGGCTGTCCTTAAGCTGCCTGATTACCTAAAATACTGATTGCGTAGGCACAGTGTTCTCAAAAGAAAAAACCGTGAGGTGATATTTTGCAAGCTGAATTTCACAATACACCACATGACCAGTTATCTGCACACGTCTAGTGCAGTGATTTCTAGAAATGTGTCCGTGTGGCTCGTATGCTGTCCAAGCAGCCTAAATTAGTGTGTGTTTGTGTAGTGTATTTAGGTCTCCTGTTCCGTGAATGAATATTTCTCATTTAGAAATGGGCTGGTCGGTGTGGTATTTTGTGTTACCATGAACACAGTTGTTACAAATATATATTGTAGACATTCTGAATTTAATTCTATGCATTTGGGTTTTGTGTGCTTTGTGTGTGCTTTAAATTTGTTAATTCACTTCATTTGTGGCTAATAGCTGTAAGTAGTCTTGATAAAAGCTTAGCTATTTAATGTAATATAAAAACGCATTATCAGAACCTACTTGTGTTTTATTCCAGGGCAGAGTCTGGGTTACGGATTTGTGAACTACGTGGATCCTAAAGACGCAGAAAAAGCCATCAATACTCTAAATGGACTGCGACTGCAAACCAAAACCATCAAGGTAAGAGGAGTGCAAAGAGAAATTCTGCTTGTGAATGTGGGATTGGACCATAAAGAAAAACATACTACGCAATATCGGACCTGCCAATGTTCACGTGTGTTACGTAGGAGCTGAAATTATCACGCTAAAAGTTATCAGTAAAAAAATGTCGAGTCTTTTTTTCCCTTTAATAAAAACAGATGAGCTAATTGAATGTGAATCTGGGATGACTGACAGTTACGTATGAGTGTTAGTCTCTGATATTAACTTTTTTTTTTTTTTAACTGTTAATTTCTGTATGTAACATTTTCCCTGGAATAGGAAGAAAGTGTGCATGTAAACCGACAACAGACAAGTGGCAGCTTTTTTTTCCCCCCTAAGCACCTGGTGGTTGCTGTAAAACCACACGTGTGTGTGTGTGTGTATATATACACAAGGCTCTTTCTGCCTTAGATAAGTGACATGTGAAAGGACTGTTGAAAATGTCCTGCATTTTTACCCCTCACTCCTCCTCTGGATTGGCTGGTCTGCAACACGACTCTTTCTTACAAATCACAACTTTAGATTTTCAACGCGGATAAAATTAAATGCAGGAGCAGCAGTGTGTTCCTGTTTCCTGTTTTCTTATCGTGCTGTAACACTCCAGGGGGAAAAAAAAAAATCTGCTGTTCTTTTAGAAGTGCTGATGCTCTCCCTGCGATTAGTCTGCAAGTATTAGGAAAGAAAAGCCATAAAGTTAAATAGGGAAGGCGATGTTGGACAAGTTAGAACCAACGTGGTTAGAGGTCAGGAGGGACGGATGAGCGAATGTTGAACGTTGAGTTATAGCTGTACGTTCCCTTCATCTGCTCTCCAGAACATAAAGTAGAGAAAAGCAAGGGCGAGTTTGGTGGCGTTTATCGATTGCAGTTCCTGTGCGCGTGGACTCCGTTCAGAGCTTTAATTAAAAGCGGACAGTTTTTATCGACGTGGCTGAGATTGCGGAGCCGAGCCAGCGTCTCACGTCTGCCAGCGTTCTAATTAAATTTAGGCAGATAAGCACTGTGCACTGTGTCACCCAGGCAGAGCTGCTGAGGAGGCAGAGCGTGTGTGTGTGTTTAGCTAGAACCGGAGCGATTTTACACTACTAGCTATGTCCTTCTAAAATGATGTGCCAAGCTTACTGATGCATGAAGTTTAGTGTTCCTGCTTGTGGATTAAATGAGCTAGAGCACATGGAGCATCATCCTGTTCTGCTACAAGTCCGCTTCTAGCATTTTGTTGGTGAGGAACGAGCTCACGTAGCTGTGTATTGCTAAACCTGAAAAACACAATGCAACTAGAGGTTCCTCTCGTCCTTTAATTATTAAACAGCTCGGTGTCACTGCTGCTTGCTGACGCTGTTTTGTGTCGTCCTTCTACGCAAACAGTTGAAAAAGTTGAAAGACATCAGCAATGCCATAAATCTAATTAACCCTATTTGAGTAAAAGGAAGGTTTTAAGGAATAGAAAGAAGATTCTGCTGTGATCTGAAAGAAGTAACAGAAGTACATTAACTCCCACAATGCACTGCAATGCAGAATACCCATGCTGCACTCTGATTAGGAAGTGTGTGGGTGGGGGGGGGTGGGGGGGGACGGGACACTGGAGTTTGTACCCTACATATAAATAGTGAATAGTGAGGTGTAGGATGCATCCATCCATGTGAGCTAGTGATTGGGGATATGTGGCCTATATAGTGAGAAAGTTGCATGGTGCGACACGTTTAGGACGATCATAAAGATTATTTTGATTATTCTGACAAACCATTCATCAGATTTAAAAAAAAAAAAAAAAAAAAAAAACTACTTATGGCTTAATGCACAAAAAAAAATCTTGGTTATAGCCTTTGCAAATGTAAAACTTTGAAAAGAATGTTATCTTGAGCACTTACAACTTGGAACTATACGGACACTAGAGGCTTAACGATTCGAATCATGATGCTGGCTTCATGATTTGGTTGAATTTGAATCCCAGAATATTGTAAACAAAATTTGAATGAAAAACTCCTTTTTTTTTTTTTTTTTTTTTTTTTTTTTTTTTAAATTTGTGTATAATAAACAGTGATGTGCATTTTGTCTGTATAAAACTAAATGAATCAGAAATAGCTATGAACAGAGGTTCACACATTTCCATGATGCACATCGTCACAGTTTTGCATCGCAATGTAGCGTTGCACCCCACTAAAAATTTTTTTTTTTTTTAAATTGCCTGTAAAACGTTTTGGGCTCAGTGCCCGCTCACAGAAACGGTTCAGTTGTGACAGCCTTGTGCATGGTTACAGTGTACAGTGACCGGTTTTGCTTTTGGAACGAATGCTAATATACTCCCTTAAAAAAAAAAAACAAACTTACTGGGTGTCCTTTAAGTCTAGCATCACAGGAGCAAAATGCAAGCTTTTATTTACTGAACTTGCTCAATATATTCTCTTTGACTTTGATTTCCTCTGTGTAGAATTATTTGGATTGTTTTTTCCTTGCTCAGGTACATCATGGTCTGTTAAATATAAAATTGTACATTAATGCTGTGATGCTGGACTTGTGTGACGCCTGTACAGTAGTGAGACGATACACCAGCGCTTCCTTTATCTCAGTGTTTTTGTAGCTGCTACAAGGTTTATGCTACATTGACGGATCAGTCAGATAACAAGAAAGAAGACTGTCGCATCATTAATCCATAAAACTCGAAAAGAATTAGTGATCTTGTTCCTGGACGTGTCTTGCGTTAGCACTGCTAGCTGTCTAGATAATGTATCTGAAATGAAACGGGTGTGTATGTGTGTGTATACAATCCTCTGTCTAGGATTTATTCCTCATTGCGAGAAAAGATGTCTGCTTAAAACGAGTGTAACCTAAAGGAATGGTGTGTAAAGTATTTTTAACTATTAAGTCAGTCAATGTAATAGAGTATATTGACGCTTATTATGGTGTGTTTTTGATTAGAATTGTTGAGTAACGTGGTGTGGAGTTTGGAGTAGTTTGGAATAATGTTTAAAAATGAAAGTGCTTTACTCTAGAGCAAGCAGTCAGGCATTATTTTAACTAAACTCTTCCTTTCATCTTCACGGTTTAAAGAAGAGAGATGCACCATGCCGTCGTCGTTTTGCCAAAAGCAGCTTAGCATATGCTTGTCGTTGGGGCTGCGCGTGAGCTGAGGGATTTGGTCGGTGTTTTGAGCAGTAACAGCTCACAGTTTGGAGAGGTGTTGCAGTCTCCTGCGTTATAAATATCTCCATCTGTTCCAAAGCTTTCTCGCTCTATAGACAGTGGTTGGGCGTGATTGCGTCGTTAGCTTAGAGGCTCGAGTGAGAATGTGCTATTGTGGGCCTGTCAAAGCTTTGTGTGCGTGAATTTAACGTTATTATGAATAAAATCTGTTTCACAGCACTAGCGCTTCGAAGGCTGGCGATGTTCTGCTATTCTGTGTTTGGGATGAAAAAGGAGGCATTGAATGCTGGAAATAAACTGCAGTGAAGTGCCATCAGCATGTAAATACACTTACAGCACTCGTTTAGGTGTGTTTCACCTCACTCTAGAAACTCTGTGGAATCGTCTAGAATGGTACCG